CAGACGCAGCTTGAGACGCTAACGCAGCCATTTCCCTCTTAGTATCTTCAAGCTCCTTTGACAGCTTCGTAATCTGCAGAAAGAGCAAAACGAGCGATATTAGCAGAACATCCAGGTCCCAGCCCGCCAGGGCAGGCAGGCAGACCACAGCTAAGGTGTGTCAGACTTGGGGCCCAGTCAGTCCCCTCCATCACAGGACACTGGCACCCTGCCGAACGCACTAGTGGGTGCAGGACCACCTACTCCCAGAGGGGAAAACACTCTCCCGTGATACCGCTGTCCTGTAAGCAGGCTGCATTGCAGCAGCGGGTCAGCTAGCAGTGCAAGTTACAGTAAAAACCTGATCCATACAGATAAACAGAAGCACGCCCCAAAGGCCCACTCCTGGGGGCTGTTATAACAATTGGGATACTGCAGGGTGTGAGCTCAATTACTGGAATCAGAGAGTCATAGAACTGGAAGGGACCTCGAGAGGTCAAGTCCAGTCCCCTGCCCTCATGCCAGGACCAAGCATCACCGAGATCGTCCCTGACAGGTGTCTGTCCTAGCTGCTCTTAAATAGCTCCGGATGGAGATTCCACAACCTCCCTGGGCAATTTATTCTGGGTTTCGTCACCCTAACAGTTGGCAAGTTTTTCCTAATGTCCAACCTAAACCTCCCTTGCTGCAGTTTAAGCCCATTGCTTCTTGTTCTATCCCCAGAGGCCAAGGAGAACAATTTTTCTCCCTCCTTGTAACACCCTTAGGTACTTGAAAACTGCCATCATGTCTCCTCTCAGTCTTCTCTTTTCTGAACTAAACCCAATTCCTTCAGCCTTCCCTCCTAGCTCATGTTCTCTAGACCTTTCATCATTTTTGTTACTCTTCTCCGGAACCTCTCCAATTTCTCTTCATCTTTCTTGAAATGCAGAGACCAGACACAATACTTCAAGTGAGGCCTAACCAGCGCAGAGTGGAGCAGAATTGCTTCTCATGGGAATGCAGCCCAGAATGACGTTTGCTTTTTTTGCAACAGCATCACACTATCAACTCATTCAGCTTGTGGTCCACTATGTCCCCAGATCCCTTTCTGCAGGACTCCTTCCTAGACAGTCGCTTCCCATTCTGTAAGTGTGAAACGGATTGTTCCTTCCTGAGTGGAGCACTTTGCTCCTTAGTAAACGTCATCGTATTTGCCTCAGACCATTTCTCCAGTTTGTCCAGATCATTTTGAATTAAGACTCTGTCCTCCAGAGGAAAGTAGGCAAAGTTCATAAAACATTACAGTAACCTCCAGCAATGAATGCTAATAGACCAAGGTACAAGGTCTAGGAGACCGTCTGGATCAATTGTAAGAGGGAAGGCTAGTGACAGGAGGCAAGGGTTGTGTTGGCATCATGATTTACAAACAAAAATGGAATCAGAAATTAACAGACCAAAACTGGTGTGCTGGAAAGAAGGGCTAACTGATGGGCGAGAACCCCGAGCACCTCAATGCCAGATTACCGCCCCTTAATATCCAACGGCGTCTGTCCTTTGTACGTCTGTCTGTCGAGAAAGTAAACACCACACAAGAGCCAGTGACAGAACTAACCCTTCTTCTCCAGGGAAGGGGCTGTCAGCCACGCTCTTTTGCTCACCTCAGATTAAGGTTGGTTTGCATGACGTGGCTACATTTACACTGAAACGTTTTCTGTTTTGCTTCTGATTCTCTCTCTCGTATCCCAAGAAACAAAGCTTCCAACCCTTGGCATGATGTTTTAACATGTCTGTGCGAGGTCGAGGCCCCTGTACACGAACTCAACCCAAACCACATGGCCCTTTCGTGGGGCAGTGAGCAGTGTAAACCCCTGGGCATCTCTGGGCCCTCTTCCTCCCATTTCCAAGCCAAGAGGAAGCCGGGCGAGAGCGCATCTGATGGGAGACCTCACACGGCAGAACCACCGCTCGTGGGTGTGGAGCGGGGGAAGGCGAGAAGAATGACCTGGGGTCTCAGGGTTAGGGCACTGGACCGGAACAGAGGCAAGGCAGCCTCACCCTGCAGCACTGCAACCCTTCTGACAACAATGTTACTACATTCCAATGGAGAAATTGGAAAGGGTCCAGAGAAGAGCGATAAGAATGATTAAAGGTCTAGAGAACATGACCTATGAAGCCAGGCTTCATGAACTGGGCTTGTTTAGTTTGGAAAAAAGAAGATTAAGGGGGGACATGATAGCGGTTTTCAAATATCTAAAAGGGTGTCACAAGGAGGAAGGCAAAAATTTGTTCCTCTTGGTTTCTGAGGACAGGACAAGGAGTAATGGGCTTAAAGTGCAGCAGGGGAGGTTTAGATTGGACATTAGGAAAAAATTCCTAACTGTCAGGGTGGTCAAATATTGGAATAAATTGCCAAGGGAGGTGGTGGAATCTCCCTCTCTGGAGATATTTAAGAACAGGTTAGATAGACATCTGTCAGGGATGGTGTAGACGGAGCTTGGTCCTGCCTTGAGGGCGGGGGGCTGGACTTGATGACCTCTCGAGGTCCCTTCCAGTCCTATGATTCTATGATTCTATGACCGGGGCAGGTAAAGCCTGAGCCTGCCCACGCACTGCTGCTGTTTGGGGGGCTCGAACCCCAAGCTCAACTTCCGCTGCCCTGGACAGGGAGCCATAGCCAAAGGGCTTCAGCCCAGGCAGGGAGCCTATAATCTGAACCCTGCCACCCATGTCTGCAGCCCTCCACCGGCTCCCTCACGCTGAACATCAGCCCCAGTGGCCTCGTAAAACTGGGTCGTGACAATGTTCCCAATTAGCTTTTCCATCCATGAGCGGAATAATTTTGATACGCACCGAGCCACGTGTCAACATGCACCGTAACTGGAAACACAAAACCTATTTGTGGGCACTCTGCTAATCAGCCGGGCAGCATCTGAATCTCTCGTGAGCGCACAAGCGCCCAGACCCACAGGTTGAGAACTGCTGCTCTAGTCGACGGCCACCAACAACGGGCAATGTATTGATGTGACACTAACCACCCCGTACTCAGACCCTACATGCTAATTATCTTCATATAAAATATGCCTGGGCAGGTATTCTCTGAAAACTCACTGCGGATTCCTATTCCTATAGGATGCATGTGTGCGATGGGTAATAAGTATTCTGAATACGTGCTGGAATTATAAGCAGTGTGTGCGTACATCAGGTGGATTGGGAAGTTGTTAATCAGGTCTATTCTAAACAAAGGAATGTGAGTTTACCTCAATTTACACATAAAACCATCAAGCTAACAAGGGATGGAGGCAAACTTCACAGTCTCTCGCAAATGGGGGAAAAACAGCAGAGAGCATGAACCCATAAGCAGAGGAGCAGCTTGAGTTGGGTTTTATTTTTCAGAAGGATTCATTTCAAAGATTTACTTGAGGTTCAGCTCCGGCTTTGTGTACATTTACAAACAACTGAATCAACACTCATATTGTACAAGTGCAGAGAGGGAGGGTTTTCTCAACGCTAGTGGCACACTGATTAATATTGTGAAATGTAGCTATAAGCACCACAAAGAATTATGAAGACTCCTTAATAGCAGGCAGTAGAGTTTGCCCCGACGGGCATGGAGCAGGAAGCCCCATCTACACAGCAATCATACAGGGAGCTGGGAAGCTGGGCATGAGCTCATCCTGCCCATGATGCTGCGTGAAATACATAGAACACTTGAGAATTCTGCTGATACCAAGATCCTAAATGGCAAGGAATCTGACCAGAAGGGCACGTACAGTGTGTGCGAAAATGTGATGATCTGCCAAGTATGATCATCTTCTTTCTAGGTTTGCATCACCTTTGCACTGTGAGCTACAAACATCCGGGGTCTATCTGCGCTGTGTTTCTGGGAGACGCCCCCCCCAGAGTGAAGGGAACTCTCACCTGTTTCTCCTCAGTTCCTACTTGTACTTTATCAGCTTCTAGCCCTGTGGTGTCCAACCAGTTCTCAAGCAGTAATGACGACTCTAGCGGCTACTGTTATAGCCAACTAGCCACACTCACCCGGCCAAATAGCCACATGTGGCTAGTGTGTTGGACAGCACAGTCCTAGCCTCTCCTCTTCATTAGGATATAGGGACTCTCTATTAATAGACCCTCCCCCACGGGATGCGTGTCTGAACTGTGTGCTCCTCCGCACCGTCTGCTTTCCCAGCCCTCAGCTTAAAACTCCTCCATGACTGTTTGAATTTGCCATGCCAGCACTCTGGTTCCATTTTGGCTTGGGTGAAGTCCCTCTGTTCGGTACAAGCTCCTCCTTTCCCAAAATGTTTGTCAGTTCCTAATACACCCAAATCCTGCCTCCCTACACCCTCACCTCAACTACACTTGGAGACCTGACGTTCTGCGTAACTGGCTCTGAGCAGAGACCTGGAAGCTTTTCAGGAGGTCCTGGACTTCAGTTGCCTGCGTAGCAGCCTAGATTGGGTCACCAGGATCGCTTTCCTATTTTCTTCTGTATTACTGGCACCTGCTCAACACTGGCACAATCAGTCTGGAGAGATCTGCAGGCTTCACATCCAGCAAACAATTCACCATGTGGTTCTCCCAGTCACCACAAACCCAGCAATCCATCTCAGTAGGCACTGAGAACCCCATTGCTAGAACTGTGGGGTCCCCTCACTTGAGGGCGTAGGCTCAGTGCGAGAGGTTGGCACAGGGCCACCTTGAAGGATGAGGGAGAGGTTTGTCCAAGGGACTGTTCAAAAGCTGGAAAGTAGCTCACATCTAGTGGCCCCATTACAGTGCCCCCTTCCCGCTCCTCCTGCCCCACATACCCAGTCTGTGTGCGTCAGAACTCGCCAGGGTGCTGCAGTCTGTCTAGCGAGACAGCACTGCGCTCCAAGGCCATGTAAGTCAGGCCTCAGCTTGAACATTACCTCCTCGTTCTTCTCGGAGACTTGGCTCTCCAGACTCTGCTTCTCTAGGGCGAGCTGCTTTTTCTCCTTGTCCAGGGACTGCTTCTCTCCATCTAAACCCAGGAGTTTCTGTTCAAAGTCGCTTTCCATCTTCTTCATTTCCACCTGAAGCTCGTGCCGTGCAGTCAGCTCTGAGTCCAGCTAAGGGACAAGGGGCAGTAGCGGTTAGGGGAGGACAGGCCTGGGGACAGCATCGCCATGTGAAGGGGTCTGCCTTGGCATGCACTAGCGAGCGCTGCCGGCATTGCAAACGCTTGGCTCCGTCTGAAGGCAGCCGGGGGCACGCCCATGACAAGAGGTGAACGTTCTAATTCCAGTCACAGCTTCAACGCTCACCTCTCGGCCAGGGCCCACGCACGAGAAGCGTGGGGGTTCACATGCCCGACAGCACAGCCCTGAGCAGGAGACACCTGCGTGTTTGGTGAACTAAAAAGCGAGCACACGGCTCTTCCCAGAGAGACCGGCCCAGTGCAGAGCTGAGCGGCTATTCGCCACTGCTCTGTGGCCGGGAAGGCGCTGTCTGGTGGCACCTGCTCCAGGGCCTATCCCACCCCCGCTCTCCTCCCACGCCCAGCCAGACACCTTTTTCTCCAGCTCCACTGCCTTGGCCTCACTTTTCTCCACCTTCGTTTGATCGATCAAGTTATCTACAGAAAGGGAAAACGCCATTAGGTAGTGTCCAAAATGATCCCTCCCCCCAATGCACAGAACCCTTTTGTGCCACTGCCAACACCTCAGTGTCCAGCCCCGGGTGGGACTTACCGCTCAGTGCCCAGCGCCCACGGCGGGACACAGGCCCTCCTTTCCACTCAGTCAGGCGCCCAAAGCAAACACCAGTCGGCCACCCACCCTGTCACCGCTGTTCCTAGGTGCGGGCGCTCACATGCAGTCCACCGCTCTCCTCAAAAGCACCCGCACAAAGAGCCTGAGAACTAACCCCTAAGCCCCTTCTCTCCTCCTAGCCCAGACGAGACTGACTCTTCCCCCAGGCCCTATCCCCAGCCTGGTGTCAACCCCTTGCCCCCCTCGGCCTTTGTCTCCCTTCCTGGGCAGGAGTTCTTATCTCCTATGTCTGGTCCGCAGGTGTCAGGGCCCAATACACATCTGTTGTGAGTCATGCCCAGCCTCCCTCTCCTCATGCAGACAGTGTTGCCGTGCCCAGGGGAAACTGAGGCACACTCACACAGCACAATATAGCCAAGAGTGAGTGTAACAGAGTGAACACCGGACTTGAGAAGTAGACAACACCTCCACTACGTCACACCTGCTCTTAACAGTGTTCAGCGATGGAGATTCCACAACCTCCCTAGGCAATTTATCCCAGTGCTTAACCACACTGACAGGAGGTTTTTCCTGATGTCCAACCTAAACCTCCCTTGCTGCTTGTCCTGTCCTCAGAGGCCAAGGAGAACGTTTTTTCTCTCTCCTCCTTGTAACACCCTTTTCTTCTTTGAGAGCTTATTCACATTGATTTTGATCAGACTCGCTCACAAGTGGCAGAAACTTTCCCCTAGCAGCTCCCATTGGGTTGGCTCTAGAGCCCGCTGGAGTGGGGCTGTATATGCCACTGCTGGCAGGACTCCCCCTCTGTTCTTTCTTCCCGTCCATGGCGGCGGTGGAGCCGTGTCTCTCGCGCTTAGCAAGTCGTGCCTGGTCCTAGCAGTCACCTAGTTCTTATCAGTTGTAGCTACTAGTTAGTTCTCAAGTGTAGGAGCATAAGCTTTCGTGGGCAAAGACCCACTTCGTCAGATGCATGCATCTGACGAAGTGGGTCTTTGCCCACGAAAGCTTATGCTCCTACACTTGAGAACTAACTAGTAGCTACAACTGATAAGAACTAGGTGACTGCTAGGACCAGGCACGACTTGCTAAGCGCGAGAGACACGGCTCCACCGCCGCCATGGACGGGAAGAAAGAACAGAGGGGGAGTCCTGCCAGCAGTGGCATATACAGCCCCACTCCAGCGGGCTCTAGAGCCAACCCAATGGGAGCTGCTAGGGGAAAGTTTCTGCCACTTGTGAGCGAGTCTGATCAAAATCAATGTGAATAAGCTCTCAAAGAAGAAAAGGGTGTTACAAGGAGGAGAGAGAAAAAACGTTCTCCTTGGCCTCTGAGGACAGGACAAGCAGCAAGGGAGGTTTAGGTTGGACATCAGGAAAAACCTCCTGTCAGTGTGGTTAAGCACTGGGATAAATTGCCTAGGGAGGTTGTGGAATCTCCATCGCTGAACACTGTTAAGAGCAGGTGTGACGTAGTGGAGGTGTTGTCTACTTCTCAAGTCCGGTGTTCACTCTGTTACACTCACTCTTGGCTATATTGTGCTGTGTGAGTGTGCCTCAGTTTCCCCTGGGCACGGCAACACTGTCTGCATGAGGAGAGGGAGGCTGGGCATGACTCACAACAGATGTGTATTGGGCCCTGACACCTGCGGACCAGACATAGGAGATAAGAACTCCTGCCCAGGAAGGGAGACAAAGGCCGAGGGGGGCAAGGGGTTGACACCAGGCTGGGGATAGGGCCTGGGGGAAGAGTCAGTCTCGTCTGGGCTAGGAGGAGAGAAGGGGCTTAGGGCAGAAAAGGGCCCAGGAGCCCATCTCCCCGAGAGGAATAAGGCTGCCTGCTCTTGGTCCCCGTGTTAACATCGACCCTATGCTATGCTGGGTCCTTCTGTTCTACTGGCTGGTGGCCAGTCACAGCTGGCTGCGGATGGGGGTGCAGGGTCGGGGACCCCCCCAGCACGCTGTGACAGCAGGCGAGACAGACATCGGTCAGGGATGGTCTAGATAATACCTAGCCTGCCTTGAGTGCAGTAGGGATGTTAAATGGAGTTTAATCAACCAGTCGATCAGCGGAGGAGCCGCAGCGGGGTTAGCTCCTGCCCCCAAAGCTAAGCCCGCTGTGGCTCTGCCTTTGAAATGTACTAAGAGCCGGCGGGCTCTTAATACACTTAGAAGGCTGAAGTGCAGCGGGGGGGGGGGGGGGGGGGGCGGGGGGGGGAGGAG